GTATATTATGAAATGTCCACATTTTCTGAATTAATTTATATTGAAAGAAACAAAATCATATGAAAGTAACTAGGTAGAATATAATTTATGGTTTTCAATTTGGCATTCAAGAAATAAGAATCATGATCTTCACCTTAATAACAGTAAGTTAACCGAATACAGAACACTAAACAGGACGGGAACATTTTACGTATTGCTCTTCACACTGTAATATTAAAAGCACCCTCACAGTCTTTACTAAGAAAACAAGTTTGAATAATTTGTTTGTCATATATATATATTTTTTTTTTCTAATGGTAATAGGGATTAAACTCAGGACCCTGTGCTTGCAAGGCAGGTAGTTATCCTACTGAGCTATCTCCCTGGCTCTAAGATTTATTAGTCATATTTTGAGCTGTTCTACCTGAAATCAGTAAAAGTGGTTTCCTTAAAAATATCTCATAGGGTGACTAAAACAACAACCAAAAATGAGTATTGTTTTCATAATTTTATTGAGAAACAAAGGGGAATGAGACACTTTCAAACCAAATTGGTAGGACAATTTCAGTAATTAACACATTGCATACATTCTTCCTAGTGGTTAATTGCTGTACATGATGTGGACTTGATCTCCTACTCACAAACACCATTAGAACAAATCCCTCTATTCATTAAGAGATGTAACTATATATCAATTCCAACCCCTTTGAATACACAGATACAAAATGGTATTCATCTGTATACCCTTTTCTTGTTAAGTTCAATCATTTAAATATTGTAGGTGTGTAAACTCAGAAAAATATTCTAAAGGAGTTCAGTAGTCCATAATAGTATTGGGTCTTTCACTTCACTGGCAATGTCAGAATTTATTGACCTGAGTCCCCCACAGCTCAACATAACAGCATGGCTTTACTTCCTATATTTCGTCCTCATACTTTTCTACTGTATGGTTAAGACCAAGGTAAAGCAGGACCTATGCAACAAAAGTTGTAGCTTTTGGGTCTGACAAGGTCAGTGAAATACCCTCAGGATTTATCCTGAGATTCTGTACCTCAGATTGTAGAACCTTTCTCCGTGTCAGTCATGTGGATGAGTCACTGCTGTTGCTTGGCCAATGTGCTCTCTGTGAAAACCTGAGAGAGTGTTTTCTCTCCAAGTGACTCTCCTTAAGCACACTCTACATCATCGATCACTTTCCGCTTTGGCCCCATAATCTTCTTGATCAGAAAATTTGGGAAACTACTGAGTTACATGATGTTACAGTACAAATTCTCACATGTCCTGACTCTTAATTGACCTTAGAAGGTTACGGCCAAAATGTTGGCTTTCCTTGTAGCCCTCCTTTTTCTCTAATTTTGGTCTGCAAACTTAGGTTGTTAACTATCCAGAAGACAAGTTTATTGTTATTATCAAACAACTTAGGCTATTAAGCTTAACCTCACTATCTCTCTGCATATCGAACATCATAGGCATAATAAAGAATAGCTACTTTTCATCAAGTATTGATATGCTGAATTTAAGTCCCTACATAATATGATAAAAACATTTAAAAATTAGATTATATTTTAAAAATAGGATAAAGAATTATATACTTCTCATGTTTGCACATAAGTCCAAAAATCTCACCATATACAACCCTGAAGCAGGACAGTTCCACAATATTCCTTTTCCTGTCTCTTGCTTTCATTCACCACCCGCTTCTTCTTGAGCATCTACCTACCTAAGAGACATCATAGCAGCAATTGGCATGTCATGACAAGCAGCCCATATTCAGAATACCAGAATGACAGGCACTCCAAACATGAAAGTACTATTACAAAATACCATCTGCAGTGCAGTAGCTTAGTTCACAGGTATCAGTATATATAGTTAGTCATGGTGAGAATCTTTCATATACTCATAAGTGAAATAAACCAGACACTCATGTGTAAGTATCGTATAGTCTCCCTAGTATAAGAACTCAAAAGAAGAAATACAAATAGAAAGATATAATATAAGTAAAAGGAAAGCAGGATCTCAAGGACTAACTAATCAAGAGAGGGAAAGGAGAAGAACTAGGAAACATGACAATGTCAAGCCATACAGTTATATGTAAAAGATGAGCAAGACAATGATCTTGAGAATCTTCAGAAGATTTTTTAATCTAGCAGTTAATTGGAAAGATTCTCACCCTGACTAGAATATATTTTAAAAATAGGCATAAAGAATTATATACTTCTTATATTTGCACATAAGTCCAAAAATCTAACCATATACAACCTTGAATCAGGACAGTCCCACAACATTCCTTTTCATATCTCTTGCATTCATTCGCCACCCCTTTGTTTTTGAACAATTATCTACCTGAGAGACCGCACAGCAACAACAGGTATCTCAGGACAAGCAGCCAGTATTCAGAAGACCAGAATGACAGGAACTCCAAGCATGAGACTACAATTAAAGATTACCCTCTTCATTGCTGTTGCTTAGTTCACAGGTATCAGTATATATAATTAGTCAGGGGGGGGGGAGAATCTTTCCAATTAACTACTAGACTAAAAAATCTTCTGGAGATTCTCAGAATCATTGTCTTGCCCATCTTCTACATAAAACTGTATTTCTTTACATTGACATGTTTCCTAGATCTCCTCCTTTCCCTCTTTTGATTAGTTAGTCCTCGAGTTTCTGCTTTCCTTTTCTATTATACACTTCTATTTGTATTTCATCTTTTGAGATCTTATACTACGGAAATTGTTCGATATTTAAACATGTGTATCTGGTTTATTTCACTTATGATTATATGTTCAAGTGGCATCCACTTCAATATAAAGGCTTCGAGTTTATCATCCTTTATAGCTGAGTAATACTCCATTATGTGAAAATACACCTTTTTTAACCATTCCTCAGGTGATGGGCATGTTAGCTGTTTCCAGTATTTGGCTATCACAAATTGAGCTGCTATAAACATAGGCACACCTATATCACTATGATATGATGTTTTCCTATCTTCCAGGAAAATTCCCAGTAAAAAAAAAATAGCTGTTTTAAATGGGATTTCCAGTCCAACTTTTCCAAGGAGTCTCCACACTGATTTCCATCTTTGACAAAGGGACCAATCATACTCACTGGAAGAAAGATAGCCTCTTTAAAAAATGGTACTGGAAAAACTGACTCTCTACATGTTGAAAACTCAAACTTGACCCAGGTCTATCACCATGCACTAAACTAAAGTCAAAATGAATTAAAGATCTAAACATAAAAGCAGAGACACTATATCTCCTGGAAGAGAATATAGGAGGAACTCTTCAGTCCATATGGGTAGGCAATGAATGCATGAACAGAAATCAAATTGCACAGGAAAATGTTGAAAGAATTAACAACTGGGACCTGCTCTTACTAAGAAGTTTTTTCACGTCAGAAGAAATTACCAACAAAGTGAAAAGGCAACCCAAAAATTTGGAAAAATCATGACAAAGAAGTCCTCAGACAAAGGTCTGTTCTCTAGAATTTATAAAGAACTAAAAAACACTAGTGCCCCAAAATTTAAAGACCCATTGCAGAAATGGGCATCTGAAATGAACTCATGCTTCTCAGAGGATGAAATTAAAGAAGAGAATAAATATATGAAAAAATGTTCCACATCACTAACCATCCATGAAATGCAAATTAAAACAACATTGAGATATCATCTCACCCCAGAAAGAGTGGCTATCATAAAGAAATCACCCAACAAAAATGTTGAAGAGGCTGTGGCGAAAAATGAACCCTTCTACACTGCTGGTGGGAATGTAGAATGAGTATTTTTTTGAGTTAAACATTTTTAATTTTACTGAAATTTTCCTAATTTGATGAACACAAGTTTTGCCAGATAGGTTATATTTAAATCATACTATGAACACTATTTCTCAGTTTTCCAATCTGTGATGCCAGAACTAAATATAAATATTGTTAATGTAGGAAAGCACTTATAAAATACTTTTTCAGGATCACTTGTACTGGATTCAACAAACAAACTTTTATTCTACCATTATTAAATACACTACAAAGAAATATATGTTTACTGTCACATTTTTGAGCACTAGAATCCAGTACAGTAGCATCTGGTAAATTGAACTCACTGTGATATAGTACTGAAAAGCATTTCTTATACATGTATAAAAATCATTTAAGTGTGTTGTAGTGCAGCAAACTATATCCAAAACTATGACACATTGGCATATTGAATATTTGGAACTAAATGAATTTGGAATGCTGTAGAAGCTGAATTTGCACCAAATTCTGAAAATGTCCTTTGATTCTCTCTTTCTAAGTCAGAGAAGATTTATCTGACACTCCCTTCCCTCATTGAACAGGTTTTTGTGAAAGAAATGCAATTATCCCAGGTTTCTTTCCTAGAATCCCCTAAGCAAGAAAATCATCACAGAGAAAAAGTAGATTGAAATGTCTGCATATTTTCACTGAATGTGGTATCTATTTCTCTGATAACTGAAAGACTATCTGCATAATGAGATCATTCTGTTGGGAGGACACTCTCTCTCATCTTTCTGCAATTCATACCACCTTCCTTAGAGACTAGCAAAACTTTGTCATAGGCTATTTGTTCATTGAAATATTTACTTCTTCTAAAAATTATTTACTACTTTAAAAAAATAATATAAACTTAATTTGTTTCTGCCCTTAAGAGTGGAAATTTAAACCTCAAAAATCTAGCACTTCTTTTAGTTATTATATTTTGCATGGCTACAATGTACATTTAGGGACCTTTCCTTGTGTTGATATAGTCCTCTTGATTTTTTATGTATTTGTTTGTTATAGGGTCTCATTACACAGACTGGACTCATGGTGATACCCAGCGCTAGGATTATGGTCCTTGCACATCACTAAGCTTACCTAAGCAAGTGCTTTAATGTGCTGAGCTATTTCATCGGCTTTGTTGGTCTATTGTTAATTTAAAATTTAAATATCAAATATTCATAAAGTGATTTTGAAATTCTTCATTAAAAGAATAATGTAGAAATGTGAAAAATATTGCTTTTTCATACCTGTGGTAGAGAATGAGTCCACATCTCCACAGTTGTTAACTCTTTCAAGGGGGTGTAAAATTGTAGAATCTCATTCATTGATTTCAGAAAGATAGTAAATAAATTTTTTCAAAATATTTGTTTGATAAAAGTAGAAAGTTTAATGAAAGTAGAAAACAAAAGGTATTGTGCTCAATCATTTTTATGGATTTTTGTAACATAGTTCAATGTAATTGTATTTCTTTGTGCAAATAGCCAATTAGAGGAAATTTAAAGACCCTCTCCTTGGGTAAATTCTTTTTATATATTACAATTATTTATTTAGCAAATAATTTATTGAGACTTACAGTATTGCAGATATAGCAACCGAAAGAAAACAAATATTTTATCTTGTGGAGTTTATATTATAGTGGTACTCTTAAATCTTCCAATAACCATACGAACAAAATTGTTAGGGATAATTTAAAGTATTTATCATTGATATTTAAGATGTAGTTTTTCTGCAATTATTATTAAAACTAGATATCTTTAATAAATATATTTGTGAGTGAATCAGACTTTCAAATTAAAATCTACCCTGAGTGTATCATCATAAAACAATTTTTATGTATGTCATAAAAGTATATTTAGTACTTATAATAAATAGCAAGTGATTTACAAACAAATGTATGGATATTTACCTACCACCCCAGAAAAATGATCAATATCGTGGAAAGATGGTGTTTGCTATCAATTCAATTTTTAGCTCAGGGGGGTAGAGTATGTTCTGTGTTTTTAAAGTGATAAATCTTACCGTATTGTTGTTAATATGATGCAGATTTTCTTTTTTTATATATTTAGTGCAGAGTCTAAAGGGTCTTACTACACAGATCTAACTCAGTGAAATGCTCCTGTTTTCATCCTTTCAAGCTCGGGATTACAGGTACGCACCACCTCACCCAGTCTCAGTCACTGCATGGCACTCTAGGGATCAAGCCTCAGTCCCTGGGTCTGCCTAAGCAGGTGCTTTAATTTGCTGATCTATATGGCCGGCCCTATGCATATGTTCTTTTCTTTTTTTAAAATGTATTTAGTACATGTAAAAAATGTACAGGGTCACAGTCTCACTACACAGATCAAACTCATAGTGATCCTCCTATTTTCATCCTCCCAAGCAGTGGGATTATAGGCACCAGCTACCGTGCCATTTCAATCACAGGATCAGTATGCCCTGGGGGCATGGTCCGCACAGCACACCAGGGATGGAACCCCAGTCGCTGCGTCTGCCTAAGCAGGCTCTTTAATCCACTGAGCTATTTGTCCAGCCAGATGCATATGTTCTATATATGTGATTTTAGGATATGAGGTGCAGGGTTTCAGTAAAAGGCATTATTTGATCCACGAAAAGGAGATATTTTTCCTTCCAAGGAGCTGAGAAAAGGTAAGTCACTACTGAGTTTTTTAAAGCTTTATTTTATTTTATTCATTTATTTATTTATTAGTTTTGTATTTTTTGTAGCATCTAACTACACAGCTTGGACTCATACTGATCCTCCTCTTTATATCCTCTTCAGCACAGAGATTACAGGTGCATACTCTCTACCATTTCAATTGTTTTCCTTAAACCTTTTCTCTAACATTTCTATCAATCAAAAATATTTTCCCATACCAATTTCCCACTAATAAATTAGCATATAGTTTTCCCTCTTATTACTTTTAAAACATATAACAATGTGCCCTTCACAACAATAGGACACTTTGTCCCACTCCTACTTCCTCCTTCCCAGACACAGAGGAAATGATGTAATTTTATTTTTCATTTTCTTTTCATTTTGTCTTCTGCCTTCCAAAATTGTCCAGACCTAACAAATTAGAAAAATTTAAAAACACAGAGAAAATTTATTTAAATGTATAAACAGCAACAACAGGAAAAAAAATAAAAGAAAAAACAAATGATATGCCAACAGATAAAGAAGACAATAGCAAAAATCAACACATCTGAATAATATCACCCAATGTTAAAAGCCTCCACTTTCTTACCTTTAGTGGATTGTCAGTTGGTGGTCAAATTGTTACACTCAGCTAAACTGATATAGCAGGTGCTGGGTGTGGGTGGCTCATCTGAGGACTGTTTCTAGCAGCATAAAATGTAGAACTGGAGAAGCTGTTGGGAAACTGTTAAGGAATCTGTTTGGAGAAGCTGCTGGAGCTGTTGGAAGCTGCTCATCCTCTTTGGGCCTTGTGTTTGATATCTTGATATGCTGACGTTCCTGATGAACTTGCCTTTGTGCTTTGCTTGCTGATCCTTTGCATGTCATTAGCAATCACCAAGAATGGCTACAGTTCACTTTGGGAAAATTCTGATCCTCACCTTGAGCATTGCTACTTGGCTCTGGAGAGCAACATCATGCATTGCTCACTCTTCTGGAAATGTTGTTAATATTGGCTTCCCTGATGGGAACTCAACTTTCTTCATCATTTCAAAAGTGTTCAGGACCTCACTGTTGCTGAGTACGGCTATGGTACCTTTTGTGGGAGCTCTAGTTCTTACTTTGAATGTTGCTTCCTGGCTCCAGCCTGTGAGCACAGGTCCTTCATCTTGCTGTCACATATTTTTTAGCTTCCACCACTGACCTTTGGGCTTTCCCAGAACAGATCCATGAAGTGGACTTTCATGAGACATTGCCATTGGATCTAGGCCTCTAGTTGGACTGGTGGGAGGCACTGTTATGTGCTTCAGGTCTTCAGGTGGACTCATGCAGGTTATTACTAACCAGGCCCTCAGCTGGGTTCTTTGGTCTTTTGTATGTAGACAGATATCCTGCATTACCTTTGTTTATGATTCTTCGGGTGACTACTATAAGTAATCTTATAAAATATGTGTCTTGTATTTTATTGTTCCCCTTGCAAAACCGCAAACTATGACATTATCAAAAAGACAGACTTGCTAACTTGTTAATATTATCACTTAGTTTTTTTTTTCTTTTTCATTTTGTGTATTTGGTACAGGGTCTCACTACGCAGCTGAGACTCATAATGATACTTCTGTTTTCAGCCTCCCCAGCCCTGGGATTACAGGCATGCACCACCATTCCCAGACTTTCTCACTAGCTCAGGGTGCCCCAGGGGCAGGGCTGGTGGTGAATGCAGGATTAATCCCAGTTCCTGCACTTGCTAAAGCAGGTAGTTAGTCTGCTGAGCTGTCTCATAGCCCCTCACTTAGTTATTGTATAATAATCAAATCTATAGTCTCCCAAAGGAGTGATGGCAAAATCTTAAATAAAAGAGTCATGTAGTATGAATTTAGGGCATCATGGCTTCACATGACACTACAAGCCTTAGCTAGGAACAGTGACTCATAGAGGTTTGCTTACTGTGTTTTCACTGCCCATCTCCAGACAAGGGGCCTAGGTATTGGACAGACTCACATGTAAACATAGTAATCTAATTAGTTAATTTTGATCCTTTTCAGAACCACAGCACGGTAGTATCAATTAACTGGAAGACTGGATCAAAAAACAGAATCTAACAATCTATTGTATTCAGTAAACTTATCTAATGCAGAAAGATATTCATAGACTAAAAATTAAAGGATGGAAAACAACAATTAATGAAAAAAGACCATGAAAACAAGCAGGAGTAACAATTCTTATACTAAATATAGTAAATTTCAAGACAAAATTGATTAGAAGAAATAAAGTCACTACATACTAGTTAAGGAACAGTCCAAAAAGAAGATATAAGGTTGATAAACACATATGCACTGAACACTGGAGTACTGATTTTTGTAAAATAAAAATTACTGAGACTAGAAAATTGAAATAAATTATCATAATCATTGTAAGGGGTTTTATTTTATTTTATTTTTTTGGCAGAACTGGGGATTGAACTCAGACCCTTGCGCTTGACAGGCAAGTGCTTTTTCTACTGAGCCATCTCCCCAGCCCCTTGTAAGGGATTTTAACACCTCACCTTCTCAAAGAAATAGTTCAACTAAACAAATAAAAAATTAATACATTTCAGAAGTGGACCAGACCTTTGAACATATGTATATAACATAAATATGCAAAATATTTCACCTCTATACACCAGAGTACAAATTATTTTCAGTAGCACGTAATGCTTTTTCCAAAATAAATCACATATTAGTCAGCAACCTTGCGTATTTTCTCTCTCACTAAACTTTATTTTAATGGGTCTTAAAATTCTGTGACAGATTTTTGGTCAAGTTGTTTCCATTAAAAAGTATTGATTTTAAAAACTAATAACTTAAAAACTGCCACACACTAAAAAATGATCCACAAAATTTTTTTCTTTCCTTCTGAAGATTTTATGATGCATTGTTATCATTAACCAGTCTTTCATTACTAAACTTAAATGGCTAACTGGGACAAACATTTCTGAAGCTGGGCTTCAGTCACTGATTAAGACTGGGGTGGCAAATGTTAGGGATAATATTCATTTAGCTTTCTGAACTTTCTGGACAGACTTGGTGACTTTGTCAGCTCCAGCAAACTTCTTGTCCACAGCTTTGATGACACCCACAGAAACTGTCTGTCTCATATCGGGAACCAAGAGCTGGGTAGCCAGAGTACCTCTCAACACACACAGGCTTGCCGGGAGTCATGTCAACAATGACAGCATCACCAGATTTCAAAAATTTGGGCCCATCTTCCAGCTTCTTACTAGGGAGGTGATCCATCTTTTCTGTCAGCTCAGCAAACTTGCAAGCAATTTGAGCTGTGTGACACTCCAGGACAGGGGCATAGCCAGCACTGCTCTGGCCCAGAAAGTTCAGGATAATTACCTGAGAAGTGAAATCAGCTGCTCCCATTAGTGGGTAATTTTTACTACCACTGGCAAAATCTGGTGTACAGAGGTGAAACACTTTGTATATTTACATTAAGTTCATATATTCAAAGGTGTGGTTCACTTCTGAAATTTATTGCTTTTCATTAGTTTGTTTAATTAATCTATATGTTTGAGAAATTAAGGTGTTAAAATCCCTTACAATGATTATGAACACTTTTGACAGACACATTCTTGACATTGAATCCCACATTGTCCCCAGGAAGACCTTCACTCAAAGCTTCATGGTGCATTTCAACAGA